ATTTTGAGTCACCAGGTACAAATACGACGTTCTCCAACCAGTATCTGTGCAGTTTGATTGAAAGAACAGTATTTTTATTGCATTTAACTCCCAAATGGCATTTTGCTGTAGCTGTTATCATAGACTTGGACTCTCGTTGCCAGCAGACTAAATTTCTTACACTAGTGCTATAATTTGGGAAAAATCTGAACTTGAACTTTAACAAACGGAAATTTGAGATGCCTTTACTTGTGCCAGTGTTGACATAACATATATGGGAGCAGCCTGTAGTGCTTCCTCAAGGAGAAAGACATGGAGCATAAAGTCATGGAAATATATGAGAATAGAAAGGAAACAGTGAAAATAAAGCTATGTCCTCACTATGCACGTAAGGCAAAAGATTTACATCAGAACATGTGATGTGTATCAAGCATCTTTCTAAAGAGAAGGGTGTTCACAACCTTAAACATTTGTCTGAAATAGGATTCTGTACTTCTCTTACAAGCTGCTGGAGGCTAGCCTACTAATAGCTCCTCAGTGATTATACATGCTGGCATTAACTTCACACTGCTTTGGTGTATAGGCTTGTTTTTACTTCTTGCTTCCCCCTCCCCCATGCATACTGACTGTTCATCATAAACGAACACTGTATATCAGGAAAGGTAAGACTCTAGCAAATATTTGGAGTAAGTAAACGGATGAATCAGCTGCTCAAGCCCTCTGCTTGGCATTACAGACCTCTTAACTCTGGTGGAGGGTGGGACCCATAAAGCAGTTTCTAACCCGCAAAAGACAAAGTCACATGACAAAGCTGCTGAGGATGACTTGAAGCTAGCTGATTTTCCTTTAAAAAAAAAAAAAAAGTTTTCAGATCCCTTTCAGAAGCAGAAATTTGGGGACTTCGTGCAATAGCCTCTGTTGGTGGGAGGTGCTGAGCAGCTGGCTCAGCAGCAATATATTCAAATAAGCTAGAGTTAGAAGATGCCATATTTCACAGTCTCTTGAAAATAACATGTTTAAATGCATTTCCCTGGGCAGCAGAAACACACACTTGTTTACCTGAATTTGCTGCTGTCGTTTCTCAGACTGAGGAATCAGCAATAGGCATCCCAAAGCAAAAGCTGGAAGGTCCAGTTGTGCATATTGTTTAGCTATTCCAATGACATCCATGTCAGCCAGAACAGGACACCTTCAGAAGATTAGGAGGGAAGTTCTCAGCTTACATTGTAAAGGCAATGCAAAACAGGTTTCTGCATAGAATGCTTTGGAGAGTTAATACTGTAGGTGAACCACATTTATATATGTGCAATTATTGGCTTTTTTTCCCTGTATCAGGTTTACTCTTCATAGGAAAATGAATGCATTCTCTCATACTCTGTTTAATGTTTGGGGAAACATGCAATACTTGGCTAAGAAAAAGAATTAACTGGACTTTTAGGGTGACCATTAGTTCTGTCCTGACACTTTTG